GCAAAAACAAAAAAAAGAAAACAACAAGAAAAAAAAAAAAAAAAAAAAAAAAAGCAAAAACAAAAAAAAGAAAACAACAAGAAAAAAAAAAAAAAAAAAAAAAAAAGCAAAAACAAAAAAAAGAAAACAACAAGAAAAAAAAAAAAAAAAAAAAAAAAAGCAAAAACAAAAAAAAGAAAACAACAAGAAAAAAAAAAAAAAAAAAAAAAAAAGCAAAAACAAAAAAAAGAAAACAACAAGAAAAAAAAAAAAAAAAAAAAAAAAAGCAAAAACAAAAAAAAGAAAACAACAAGAAAAAAAAAAAAAAAAAAAAAAAAAGCAAAAACAAAAAAAAGAAAACAACAAGAAAAAAAAAAAAAAAAAAAAAAAAAGCAAAAACAAAAAAAAGAAAACAACAAGAAAAAAAAAAAAAAAAAAAAAAAAAGCAAAAACAAAAAAAAGAAAACAACAAGAAAAAAAAAAAAAAAAAAAAAAAAAGCAAAAACAAAAAAAAGAAAACAACAAGAAAAAAAAAAAAAAAAAAAAAAAAAGCAAAAACAAAAAAAAGAAAACAACAAGAAAAAAAAAAAAAAAAAAAAAAAAAGCAAAAACAAAAAAAAGAAAACAACAAGAAAAAAAAAAAAAAAAAAAAAAAAAGCAAAAACAAAAAAAAGAAAACAACAAGAAAAAAAAAAAAAAAAAAAAAAAAAGCAAAAACAAAAAAAAGAAAACAACAAGAAAAAAAAAAAAAAAAAAAAAAAAAGCAAAAACAAAAAAAAGAAAACAACAAGAAAAAAAAAAAAAAAAAAAAAAAAAGCAAAAACAAAAAAAAGAAAACAACAAGAAAAAAAAAAAAAAAAAAAAAAAAAGCAAAAACAAAAAAAAGAAAACAACAAGAAAAAAAAAAAAAAAAAAAAAAAAAGCAAAAACAAAAAAAAGAAAACAACAAGAAAAAAAAAAAAAAAAAAAAAAAAAGCAAAAACAAAAAAAAGAAAACAACAAGAAAAAAAAAAAAAAAAAAAAAAAAAGCAAAAACAAAAAAAAGAAAACAACAAGAAAAAAAAAAAAAAAAAAAAAAAAAGCAAAAACAAAAAAAAGAAAACAACAAGAAAAAAAAAAAAAAAAAAAAAAAAAGCAAAAACAAAAAAAAGAAAACAACAAGAAAAAAAAAAAAAAAAAAAAAAAAAGCAAAAACAAAAAAAAGAAAACAACAAGAAAAAAAAAAAAAAAAAAAAAAAAAGCAAAAACAAAAAAAAGAAAACAACAAGAAAAAAAAAAAAAAAAAAAAAAAAAGCAAAAACAAAAAAAAGAAAACAACAAGAAAAAAAAAAAAAAAAAAAAAAAAAGCAAAAACAAAAAAAAGAAAACAACAAGAAAAAAAAAAAAAAAAAAAAAAAAAGCAAAAACAAAAAAAAGAAAACAACAAGAAAAAAAAAAAAAAAAAAAAAAAAAGCAAAAACAAAAAAAAGAAAACAACAAGAAAAAAAAAAAAAAAAAAAAAAAAAGCAAAAACAAAAAAAAGAAAACAACAAGAAAAAAAAAAAAAAAAAAAAAAAAAGCAAAAACAAAAAAAAGAAAACAACAAGAAAAAAAAAAAAAAAAAAAAAAAAAGCAAAAACAAAAAAAAGAAAACAACAAGAAAAAAAAAAAAAAAAAAAAAAAAAGCAAAAACAAAAAAAAGAAAACAACAAGAAAAAAAAAAAAAAAAAAAAAAAAAGCAAAAACAAAAAAAAGAAAACAACAAGAAAAAAAAAAAAAAAAAAAAAAAAAGCAAAAACAAAAAAAAGAAAACAACAAGAAAAAAAAAAAAAAAAAAAAAAAAAGCAAAAACAAAAAAAAGAAAACAACAAGAAAAAAAAAAAAAAAAAAAAAAAAAGCAAAAACAAAAAAAAGAAAACAACAAGAAAAAAAAAAAAAAAAAAAAAAAAAGCAAAAACAAAAAAAAGAAAACAACAAGAAAAAAAAAAAAAAAAAAAAAAAAAGCAAAAACAAAAAAAAGAAAACAACAAGAAAAAAAAAAAAAAAAAAAAAAAAAGCAAAAACAAAAAAAAGAAAACAACAAGAAAAAAAAAAAAAAAAAAAAAAAAAGCAAAAACAAAAAAAAGAAAACAACAAGAAAAAAAAAAAAAAAAAAAAAAAAAGCAAAAACAAAAAAAAGAAAACAACAAGAAAAAAAAAAAAAAAAAAAAAAAAAGCAAAAACAAAAAAAAGAAAACAACAAGAAAAAAAAAAAAAAAAAAAAAAAAAGCAAAAACAAAAAAAAGAAAACAACAAGAAAAAAAAAAAAAAAAAAAAAAAAAGCAAAAACAAAAAAAAGAAAACAACAAGAAAAAAAAAAAAAAAAAAAAAAAAAGCAAAAACAAAAAAAAGAAAACAACAAGAAAAAAAAAAAAAAAAAAAAAAAAAGCAAAAACAAAAAAAAGAAAACAACAAGAAAAAAAAAAAAAAAAAAAAAAAAAGCAAAAACAAAAAAAAGAAAACAACAAGAAAAAAAAAAAAAAAAAAAAAAAAAGCAAAAACAAAAAAAAGAAAACAACAAGAAAAAAAAAAAAAAAAAAAAAAAAAGCAAAAACAAAAAAAAGAAAACAACAAGAAAAAAAAAAAAAAAAAAAAAAAAAGCAAAAACAAAAAAAAGAAAACAACAAGAAAAAAAAAAAAAAAAAAAAAAAAAGCAAAAACAAAAAAAAGAAAACAACAAGAAAAAAAAAAAAAAAAAAAAAAAAAGCAAAAACAAAAAAAAGAAAACAACAAGAAAAAAAAAAAAAAAAAAAAAAAAAGCAAAAACAAAAAAAAGAAAACAACAAGAAAAAAAAAAAAAAAAAAAAAAAAAGCAAAAACAAAAAAAAGAAAACAACAAGAAAAAAAAAAAAAAAAAAAAAAAAAGCAAAAACAAAAAAAAGAAAACAACAAGAAAAAAAAAAAAAAAAAAAAAAAAAGCAAAAACAAAAAAAAGAAAACAACAAGAAAAAAAAAAAAAAAAAAAAAAAAAGCAAAAACAAAAAAAAGAAAACAACAAGAAAAAAAAAAAAAAAAAAAAAAAAAGCAAAAACAAAAAAAAGAAAACAACAAGAAAAAAAAAAAAAAAAAAAAAAAAAGCAAAAACAAAAAAAAGAAAACAACAAGAAAAAAAAAAAAAAAAAAAAAAAAAGCAAAAACAAAAAAAAGAAAACAACAAGAAAAAAAAAAAAAAAAAAAAAAAAAGCAAAAACAAAAAAAAGAAAACAACAAGAAAAAAAAAAAAAAAAAAAAAAAAAGCAAAAACAAAAAAAAGAAAACAACAAGAAAAAAAAAAAAAAAAAAAAAAAAAGCAAAAACAAAAAAAAGAAAACAACAAGAAAAAAAAAAAAAAAAAAAAAAAAAAAAAAAGCAAAAACAAAAAAACACAAAAGTATATATCTGGCTCTTCTTGCGAATGCCATAGCTTCTCAGGTTGCTTTTGGGATTTAATTCTAGACAGAATGCTGTACCATCTTGACTTGTCTTAACCTCCACATTAATGCAGTCCACCCTTGTAAAGTTCCTTTAAAAATAGCCAGAATATTTTTCCTTCTCAGGTTTATTTTATTTTTGTACCGGGGATTGAACTCAGGACCTTGCGCTTACAAGCCAGGTGACAGCACCACTGAGCTGAATCTCCGGCCCACTCTTAGGCTTTCTTGAAGACTTCTCGCTATGCCCACTCCTTAAGCCTTCTTTTCATTTGTCTAACAATGCTTTTAGGTTTTTTGACCCAAATTTTGAGAAACAAGATTCCTATAGTCTTGTTTCCATTTCAAAAACAGCTTTATTCTTTTACTTCCAAAACTGAAAAAGCATACTTAGCAATATTGAGTATACAATCCTACTTTGCTATTATTTTCTTATTTGGCATACCATCTTACACACTGTATATACACTCAGGTATCTGTTGTGGAAATAATCTCTCCCAAGGTTTGAACCATACTTTCCCTCCCATCTGAGTACTAACCAGGCCCTGCCCTAATTAGCTTCTGAGATCAGGTGCATTTAAGATGGTATAGTTGTAGACAAATTATTTTTCTTAGGCTGATGACTGACGCATCTAATTTCTAACCTACTTTCACAAATGAAATTCAAATTACTAATTGCCTTCCATTTGGCCTTAGAAATAATGTTTAACCTCTGTTCCAAGTACAGTAGAACATAATCTATTAAGCACCTAAATATTAGGCAGTAAGTAGTTGCTTTAATATGTCGTATAATTTAATCCCCTCCCAAGCAACTTTGTAAGGTTGGACACTACTGCCTACCACCATAGATTAAAAGAGGTCACACAAGTTAAGTTATTTGACCAGTCTCACACCGGTATTAAGCAGGAAGGGCAGCAGAGAATAAGCATTAGCTCAGGATAACATAATTTTGTGTTCTTCTCAATAATGACGCATTGTTCTAAGTAGCTATGCTAGAAAACTCACCAGTATATCTTCCTCCTCCTTAGCTATCAATCACATCTTTATGCTGCCAAAGCACAGCATGGTGGTTATGAGTGTAACTTTGGAGTCAGATGTTGATGTGGGTCCAGAATCTGCTACTTGTTGCTGTGAAATACCATGATTTATTCTATACAAAGTAGTAGTAATATGGGAGCACAGAGGTAGGGACTGAGTAACTTTGCCTGGGACAATGAGGAAAAGCAGAGAAAAGCACAACTTCATCTTGCAGGGTTACTGAAGATTAAATGCAGGAATGTGCATGATTGTGTACACGACCAGGAGTGCTCGATTTTAGCTATAGTCTTCTTTCCAATTTTAGCTATAAGCTCCTCATCAAAATGGAGACCCTGAAAGGGGCGTGATTACAATATTCTTAAAAGTAGAATGGGGTGGGTAAATCACAGGAAACACTGAGTTTCTCCACTCATACTCCCTATACAGGACTCTTCCATTAAATCTCAGATCCTGACGAATATAAATAAGCAATTACCAAAAAGCTATGGTTTTATAGATCTGCTATACTGTTCATGATGCTGAAGTGTGAGTCTTATAAGAAATACCTTCTCTCACCTGACTGGTTTTCGCTGCTCTGCACCTCTCCGTTATTTTGTGGCTGTTGGTTTGTTACAGCACTGCTTTCTGACTGGCTGTTTAACACCTTAACAGCAGATCCCAGCTTTGCTGCTATGACAGGAAAATGCTGACCCCTCTTTAGAAGCTGTTTATGTTCTTGGTGGCGAAATCGTGGAGGTACTTCACGAGGATACCGAGGCAAGGCCTGTGGCTGCGGCTGCGGCTGCGGCTGCTGCTGCTGCGGTGGCGGCGGTGGCTGCTGCTGTGGCTGCTGCTGCTGCTGATTGTTGGCTGTAGCTCGCTTGGCATTATTATTAGTGCTGGTTGCTGTGGAAGTGCCGTTATTAGAGTTGGCAGGCTGAGGCTGGCTTACACTGGGCTTTATCTGTTCTGGCACTAATCCCAACAAAAGAAAAGGAGTGGAAAAGATTAGCCAGTAAAGTGTACCTCCATAGTAAGCCATCTAAATTCAAAAGCTCTATGAACACAACCCTAATGGAACAAAAGCTTTACGTGTGCCGGGACAGCCTTCTTCACAGGCTCAAGTTTTCCCAGGAGATACCCAGCCAGCACACTTCTCTTCTAGCCACCACCTACCGCTAAGGGCACAGAGTCTGATGGCCCTCACCGGCCAGGTAGGCATCGCATGCTCACCGCAACTTTCCCATGTCAGACTCATCAGATAGCAGTCAGTTACTTCAAAGCCACAGGACTCGCCAGTGAGTGAAAGAACAAATGTGCCAAATTTCTTTTCTCGGTACTGGACACTGAACCCAGGGGCTTTGTACTGAGCTGCCTTTAATTTTTTAATTATCTTGAGACTGGTCTTGCTAAATTGTTCAGGCTGGGCTCAAACTTGCAATCCTCCTGCCTCAGCTTCCCTAAGTGCTGGGAATAAAAGCATGTGCCACCATGCCCAACTTGTGCCAAACTGATTTTGTGCCCTAGAAGAATGCTCAATTCTCTGGTAACTACTCGTTTTGCTTCATTTTCAATTACGTATGGTCCCTAATTTAAATCCTTGTAAGACAAAACAAAGGCAGAAGACAACTTGCTGGTTTCCTTACAAAACAGCAAAGTTAACCATGTTTTCCACTGGTAAAATATAAAGTCTGAACCAAATAAGACAAACAGAGAAATATGGAAGTAAATACTAAGATTAACAATGAAATCTGTGAGACTAATCAAAATTGGAGAAATAATTTAGATGCTGTTTTAAGCAAATCTGATAAAATAACCATTTGTCTACTGTATGAGCTATCAGAAACTTTAAATGTACTTTCGGACTCCTAAAAGAGAAAAATAATAAACTGGTAGAAAGGTCTTAATTAAGCCACTCTGACAACACTATTTCCTCCTTGGTGAAACAGAGACAGAACCTAAACTTCACAGAGAGACAATGAGGCTGGAAAGCTTAAATGATTATAAAGCATAGGACAGGGCAGGGGATTTAGCTCAGCAGTTCGGTGGCCCGCCTTACAAGCGCAAGGACCCGAATTCAATCCCTGGTACCAAAAAAAAAAAACAAAAAACAAAAAACAAAAAAAAAAAAAGCATAGGACATAAGGCTTCCTAAGGAGTGTCTACTCTTTAACAACTGCCCAAACATCACCTCACAGATCTGGAGCAATTTAATAATTCTGCTCCATACATCTTCAGGGACACCACTGTTAGCCAAGCGAAGGAAAACATAGCCATGTTACTGGTGAGGACACTCAGAAAACTCCGTCCAAGGGTTAAGAGTCCTTGTTCTTTAAATAAAGCAATCTCACCCTCACTACTGGGGTAATTTCTTTATGGTTCACAAGCGACAGTCTTGGTCAACTGTCCAGGACAGTGTAACCATTCACTAAAGAGAAGTTATCACTGTGGCCTAAATAAAACATTTATTAAGCGTCTGTAACGTACATGACACTGTGATTAAAGTGGTGGTCACCTGTGTTGATTACAACAGCCATCTAGCTTTTTATTACCTAAGCTCAGCTTCACAGCCTCCTCTCACGGGACAATCTAAGCGCATTAGCTGTCTTCCTTCTCTGAACATTTGGTGATTTCGTTCATACTATTCACACCGATTTTTTAAAAATATATGATCTTGGCCTCAAGTTTTTTCAATGTGACTTCAATTTCTAAAGTAATACAGACGAACTGGCATCCAGAAGCAATCCAGGTGGGAAAATTACAAACATCCCATCTACTGACTGGAATCCTCATTCTTGCTGAAGTTCACTGAAGTCTTATTAATAATTTGGACCAAGTGCTTTCTAGACCTAATCACTTCACCCATGTAAATTTTGTCTCCCAGACAATTTAAAGCTCCTAAAATGTAGCTGTGATGCATGTTCCTTTGTGTGTATGACACGGTAATAAGTAAATATTAGCTATTAAAAACACATTTAACAAGAACAGTAAGGCATTAAAGCGTCTCCCAAATGACAGGAAGATAAAGTATGTAAAAGTGAAAATACAACTATAACTCAACTTTTACATGTTTAGTACCAGACTCAGCATGGTATCTGGCAAGTGAATACAAGTGTAAGGTGGCAATTAGCCACTCCTGCAACAGCAGTTCATTTGACATTTACAATTGAAAAATTAAGCATTCTTTTAAAAAACTGTTATAATAATTTTTCACCCAGAGTGCTACTTATGTAAGAAAGCAGCAAGAAAATGTTCTTTGTATATTCAAAAAATTAGACGATAACCTAATAGGGAAATACTGTGGCCTCTATAAAAAATTTTTAAGAACTTTAACACCAAAAGTAAGTGACTAGGAGTTCAGAACAGTATCTGTCACCAAGCAATACCACAACTATCACAAACTCAAATAAATGTATTTTGTACCAATAAAATAAACAGAAAACAGGGCTGAGAAAGGTACTCATTTCTAGAACCAGAAAAATTCACCAAGAGAAGTAAAGAAATCGAGACACTGTAATTACTGATTACAAAAGTAATCTTTTTTTTTTTTTGATAATCAGGGATTGAACTCAGGACCTCATACTTATCAGGCAGGCACGTCCCCGGCCCAAATTAAAGAACTGTAAGTGAAATCTCAAATACTAATGGGTAGTAATGAGTAAGGGAGAAGTTAACAGTTGGTATATGCAGGAGGTAGAGTTCTGGAAAACATTAAATACTGCTTAATTCTGACTATGCTACAAGGGCTGATCAAAAAAGTATGGCAATGTTTACATTTTTAAAAATTTACTACCATAAAAGACACACTACCATTAAGCCCCTTCAAAATATTTCCCCTGGCTTCCAACATACTATTCTGTCACTCTTGCCACTTCCTGAAGCAGTTCTGCAAGTTTTCTTTCATGTCTTACAATGTATGATCAAAAATAAAAGTGAGGGCCAGGGATTTAGCTCAGTGGTTCCACTGCCAGCCTTGCAAGCAGAACTGCAGTAGATCCCTGGTACCAAAACAAAACAAAACAACCCACACAAATGTGGTGGCCCAAGTTCCATTCCCTGAAAAGGCAGGCTTGTCACTACATGCTTTCATCCACCTTATACACAGGATCTGAGGGCATGCAACCTGTGGCTCTCCTTCAAAGTCAGAATGGCCACAAAAGGTAAATGTTTTGAATCAATCTAAGACATCAAGACAGCCAATGAAAGAGCACTTCCAGAACTGCTTCAGGAAGTGGTGAGAATGAAGTGTATTTGAGATAAGGGTAAGCATTCTGAAGGGGGACTTAATGGCAATGTCTTTACTATAATACATATTTTTCAACTGAAACACTGACTATATTTTTCTGTTACTGCATATAGTTATAGTTTAAATTTTTTAAGTTAACTGTATCATTGAGCCCTGAAGCCACTAAAAGGAGAAAAAAAATGTGGGTTAATACAAAATAAGAAGTTAAGAATAAGTCCAAAGTAAGTGTAATTACAATAAACATAAAGATGTTAAATTCACTTGTTATAACATATAGTCTCTTTTACTAGGTTAAGAAAAGAAAAACAACTTAAAAAAAACACTTTGCATAAAGTACTCCTGAAACAAAACAAGGAGGAAAGTTCGGTGGAAAAAAAAATGTACAGAGAAATAAATACCACCAAGAAAATGTAAATGAAACAGTATTAATATCAAACAAAAATGATTCAAGAAAAGCAGTATAAAGGATAAATATTTCACAGTTACAAAGACAATTAAAAAGACATAAAAAGAACCTTTATACAACAAACCCTATAGTATCAAAACAGATAAACCAAATGGAGACAAAAAATGAGAAAAAAAAAAAAAAAAGCAAAACCATATACCTTGACAGGAGATAGTATAACATTTTTTGAGAAGTACCTATGATACAGTCAAAAAGTTAACACACAAATACCATACAGCACTATAAAGAAACTACCAATAAATTACAAAGATGATAAAAATATGATCAAACTTCTGGACTGTAAAACTGTGTTGCTAGAAATGATGAGAACTAGGAAAATAAAACTACCTTAAAAATACTGAGTTAGAAAGGAAATACCAAATTGCAGAGTTATTAAGAAAATAATAGTAAAACACTATATATAATACATTTCAAGATACAATTAACTCCAGAAAAATTCATAGCTGAGCTGGGAATTTAGCTCAGTGGTTCTGATGCCTGCTTCGCAAGGGTAAGGTCCTGAGTTTGATCCCAGTACCAAAACAAAAACAAACAAACAAAAACAAAAAAATAACAACAACAATCAAAAGTGAGCCCATAAATCCAAGGAATGATCATGTGGGGGGGAATCTAGTTAACATTTTTAAAAAATTATTTTCTAAAATTAAGATATTTCTTGACACTCAATTCTGTAACTAACTTGAATGTTTCTGGGGGAAATAAATTAATACTGACTACCAAAGAGGCAGAAAATCTAACAGCATAGAAGAAATTCAGAAATGCAACCACCAGGACCAAATAGTTTCCCTCATCAACAGTAGTACACTCTGTATGACTGGTCTATTTCTAAACTAGAGTACTCTTTTTTTTTTTTTTGGGGTTTTTTGAGACAGGGTCTCACTATGCAGTTGAGACTGATCTGGAACTCACTATATAGCCCAGGCTGGTATTGAACTCACAGCGATCCTCCTGCCTCAGCCTCCCGAGTGCTGGGATTACAGGCATGCGCCACCATGTCCTGCTTAGAGTACTCTTAAGAAGCATGCATGTTTGAACCGTTTCAGAGCACAGCAAAACATGCAGCATCCACACATCAGTAAGTCAAAACAATTTAATAGTTCTCAAATGAAAACAGTAAGAAGAGATCTAATAGTTCTAGTAAAAGGAAAGACATAATATTTCAGAAATACAAGAAAAGACTATGCATAATTTCTAACAAAAAAGTAGAAACCCCATCTAAACTCTGTGTAAAGGGCTAAGATAATAAACACGTTAGGCTTTGCA